AACACACAAATTGGCAAAGTTTATGTTTGAATTAAATGAGGGGCTATCAAACACGGTAAAACATTCATATGAATTTTCTCAAAAAATCAAAAACATGACATTGGAAGAAACGGAGTAATTGGTAAGTTTCGATGTGGAATGCATGTATACACATATCTCTGGAGAAAATGCGCTAACGGTTCTGCTAGAAATCCTGGATCGAGAGGAGGATATCCTAGATTCACAACAAATCAGGAGGGAGTCAGTAACAAGACTAATTAACTTGACAATAGGGACAACCTATTTTGCATTTAACGGGAACATCTATGAACAAATATTTAGACTTCCCATGGGTTCACCGCTCTCACCACTTTTGGCAAACGTATGTATGAAAAAAATAGAAGAGAACTCAAGATGGCACCGCCACAACCGGCAGTGCTCATGCGGTATCTGGATGATTACTTCGAACTTTGCTGACATGGAAGAATAAAACTGTAAGGGTTTCTGCAGTTTGTAAACCAAATTGATGAAAAAATTCAATTCCCGATGGAAGTAGAGGAAGGTTAGCGGTTACCGTTCTTGGATGTTTATATGATTAGCTCTTATGGGACGCTCAAATATAAATTGTTCACAAAGAAGTCTTATGCTGAGATAATACTGAATTTTCAGTCCCATCATATTCACGGGCTAAAGATTGGAATAATTAAGAGCTTGATCACCTGAAGCCTACGCTTAACGGATTTAGAATTATGGGACGAGGAGCTGGACAAATTGACGAGGGTATTCCTCGGCAATGGCTACCCAAGTGATGTTATACAAAGAAGCATGCGGGCCGTGAAAAGCCGATGGCAGAACGGGGACTATGAAAGACCAGTAAGGACGATGAAGGATTCACAAAAGTGGATATGCTTACCTTCCTGAGAACTAACTCAAAAACTGCGGCCAATATTGAGGAAATGGAATATTCGGATGGCTATGCAAGAGGACTCAACACTTTTCAAAAGTCTACCGACGCATCATGAAAGGGTAAACAATTTGGATTGTTCAGGAGCTTACTGTATATTATGCGGCGCGTTCAAATAGAAATAAATTTGCGGAATATGGAGAACCATTACATACGTATAAATGAGCATCAAAGACTGCAGGAAAATGGATACTGATGTATCAGAACCGACGAAACACATGGCATAGACTGGACACGTGATAAATTGAAAGGCAACAGAAATAAGGGCCCCATACGGGGAAAACACAAGGAAGTGGAAGATTAGGGAGGCCATTGACATCCCTGGGGAGAAAAATATGATGAACAGGAGATTGGAGGAAGGTAGAGTTAGCGATTACTTTGTCTACTGCTTAAGCAAACTCGTGAAAAATAAGAATAGAGCAAGACCAGTAGAAGCGACGCCTGGATCAGGGATCAATCGCTAACCGGAGGAACTGGGATCTTGATAAGGAAATTGGGAGGCGGGGAGTTTTGTCAATTAAGCGAAGACGTCAGGGCGTGATGTCCGTTTCGAATAAACCAGTACAACTTTGGGGGCCTGGCAGTTAGAGAGGTTGGCGTAGGAATAAGCAAACCGTCACAGAAATTCGATGTTTTGACCAAAAGGTACTAGAAATTCACTTTAGATGCCGCATGCGACCAGAGATAGGCTTCCACATGTGGCTCAGATTACACAGGTTTAATCAAGCAGACGACCCGTGAAGTCAATGCCTAAGATCTGCAAAAATGACAATCAGGTGCTCTGCTCGATGACCTTTAGAAATAGCGCCTAGAGTAAAATACACACCAAAAAGAGAAGGAACGGATCTACGGGACAATAAGGGGATCCGGATTTTAGGCCCGAGTCGGAATAACCCATTGAAAGAGAGGGGCCCGGGGTGAATAGCAAGTGTAATGAGGCCACACTAGATTTGCCACAGAAGGAATGTAACAGGCCAATGGTCCGATACTCTAAATCACATTTACTATGGCAGAGGGCACAGGACTAGACACATTCCACAAGGCGTTTCTGATGCTAAGGACAAGTTGCTTAACCGAGATCGAGCCCACACTATCTGTTTATTTGTTTGCCTAAATCTTATTTTGAACGATGCCCTTTATTATCAGTAAACCAATGAACATGTGTAAAATATGAGGCAACCATACAATTTAAATTACATTATAAAAACTTCATAAAACTAGGCTTTATTCCATGCAGGCCTCAACATATAAAGAGACAAAAAAGTCATGTCTCATTTTTTTTCTTATGGTAATACCTGAGTCACTCTCTTCAGATCAAAATTTCACGTCTCTTTTTTCCGTCATTTTTATTAAATTTTCAATGATAAGTCATTCTGACAGCAGACAAGTTTTATTATTATTTTATCAATCGTATGAGCCAAATCATTTAATTCAATTTACAATCATTTCAGTTAAACGCACTCCTAGGACTGGTCTTTATAATGCTATTTTGCATCATCGTTCATTTTTCCGAGCCTGGGGATTCTGTTTTTTGGCTTGTCTACATTGCTTCCAGCATGCTCGGGGTCGGCTGCACAATTCTTCTGGTCACCTCACTTACAATGACAACAGACCTAATTGACGGCAATCGGACAACCAGCGCCTTTGTTTTTGGCTTCATGTCACTGCTTGACAAATTGTCGAATGGCATCGTGGTGCAGATTATCTCATCTCTGGAGCCAGACACAGCCGAAGGTCGTGCTCGTTTTTATAGGTCAATCGAAGTCTATGCAATAGGTGGTTTCTTATTCACTTGTGGTGCACTCTTAATATTACGAATCCTATTGGCACGTGTGTTTAATAAGCGCGAACAGTCTCAGAACCAATTGATTCATCAAACTAACCTTTAAATAGGCTGACGATACCGTACTTTTCAGTAGCCTGAATACTGGCCATAATGTTTATCTGAGATTATCATAGCAAAATGAAAAGGTTTGGAGGTATGCAAATATGCATGTATAGTGGAAAATGGACTGATTTATACAATGATATTGATTGGCTAAATTACTTTGTCTACAAGGAAGATTGACTGAAAGCTTTGCTAAACTTATATCTTGATTGACATTCCAGTAATTCTATTATTTTCCCTGTTAAAATATTTTTTATAACTTTACTTTGAGTAACCTGCCTTGCAATACCCAATCTAGCCGAGTTAAATTTTTGAAATTTTTTGAAAATAAAAGTGCAAATATGTGCGATTTTCATTTATGATACTCACCAATACTCACTTTCTCACTAGAGATATTTTCAGGATTATTTATTCCTGTTTATTTGGAATTGCCTTTGCTGTTATTATTCGGTCTATATCTCTCTTCTCTGTTTAGACTTGTTTTTTTCTAAGAATAACTTTTTCGAGTCATTGGTATTGTAATTTCTTTTATGATTTGCAAAGATTCCTTATATTCAAGATTTTAATGGCAGTTTTTTCACTTTTTCTCACACACCTCTATGCGCACTTTGTCCACAAAAGATTTGAAATCAAAAAGAATCATCTGCATTTTCTAATTTGTGATTTGATTATTTTACTTTTCTGATCTACTCATTAATACTTTTTTCTACTTTTTTAAGTATATTGGCTTCCACGCCTCTCCTATGGTCAGAGCTACTTTTATATCTTCTTATTTACTGAGCGCTTACCTTTTTATTTGTTATTTTTAACCATGATGAAGCATAATTACTATCTTATATCTGTGAAGTCGCGTTTATCAACTGAATGAATGTATATTCATTTTCAATCAATGATTACTTATGTCTTTAGTTCGTCTATTATGCCATGAGTTAAGTCTGCAAAAAAGTTTGCCTGCAAACTATTGTGTTAACAAGCGTGTAGAGTAGAAGTGAAACGAACTCTTCGAACGACTGACCTCATATCTTTCCCTAATAAACCAAACAAATCCATAATTGTATTCGTTCTGTAGTCTCTTCTTGCATTAATTATTACTGCCCATTAGATATCTCGATTTTTTGTGTTTATCATATCATGTTGTGGGATAGATCTAGTCGGATAACAACCTCACGCCAACCCTAATTCCTTTCCTCAAGTTCTTATCCAAACTGGCTCCAGTTTTGATGTTATCGGTAAAGTCAGGACGCAATGAGGCTTAATCGACTCCCTCAAAAGAATTTCCTAATCAGGAGAACGGCCATAGCGAGTAAAACGAACGCTGAAGCATGCAGGACGCTATATTTACGGTATAAAGCTCCATTCAATACGAGTTTGCGTATAAATACATAAATAAATATACACATGCAAGGCTTTCTTTATATCATTTTAAATAGTCGATAGATGTGCTTCACGCTTTGCCTATTATGCTAGTAAATCAAATTACTGAGAGGTCATTTAATCCATTTTATGTTTCCTTCGTAATGCTTACTAGTGCATGCCAGAAAAAATCTATACCGCGAATTCTCACTTAGTGTATTATTATGATTAAATGAGAGTCTGAATGGAATCCTCCTAATCCATCCATTCCCTGTTGGGGCTTTATATCTCATCTAACTTTAATTGAAGAACATTCGCTGAAAAAGCTCTAGCGTTTCATGCCTTAGATAGGAAGGCCAAGATCGTATAGTTTTAGGTTTAATTGCAGTATTTTTGCTGTATAGTGTTGGTTTAACCACATTTTCACAACTTTGAGCGACAGTGACTTTGTAATGTACTTAGTTTTTCGTCCTGATATTCATGATAATTTCTACCATCGGGCCATTGACTTGATTTATTTCCAGACGTTTGGACAGCATTGTCAAGGACATGTGCTATCCCAAGGACATAATTACAACTACCACAGCGGTTGAATAGAAAATTGGTCAGGTGGATTGCCTTCTAGTCACTTTGATAAGCGGTCACTGCTCAAAGGATGGCATCTCACTGAGCATGCTGGCGAAACGTCTGGTAATGTGTCAGGTCAACGGTCCTATCCTGGAACTAATCATGAATGCTGTGTCGGATAACGCAAGATTAGATACATTCAACAGTCTCTGTCGCTCCGACTAAGTCACGTAATCGTATTGAAACCAACACGGTGTTTTTTCCGTTCACTGGTAAGGACATTCATCTTGCGGATGGTTTTTACTTTCACAGAGTCTTTTGAGAGTTACATTTTACTAAGGCTAAAAACTTGTCTCTCAAAGGTTCTTCGAACATGAGCTTATTTATCTCGTTGAGTAAGCATCTGACATTATGCGGCTTAGTTCACCTGTCTAAATATTCCGAAGGCAAAGAGGCAACCTGAACTGGAATTTCGATAGATTTTTACTTAAATAGCTTCCAGGTACAGTTCGCACAATGGGGCAGTCGTGTCATGCAACTAAAGATACGAAGAATGATTAGCGGATACATGATAAAAGGTTGAGGAACTTAGGAATTATAATCATATCGATGAATTTAAGTCCCAGGGTAAGTAGTTTTAACAAAAATGGGAAGAATTAGGTAATCACCTAAGCTAGTATGACTCAGGAAGATGGTGTGGAACTTTTATTAAATTTAGGATTGCATTTTGCTCTTCCAAATGAAGTAAACCATTCTCTGGACATACTTCGTGAATTAATTAGCTTTTCTGATTGCCAGTCAATGCACTGATTATAGTAGCTTAAAGAAAATAGTCGTTAGTCAATCTTATCATTTGATCTTATTAGATCCCTCCTAGTTTTTAGAATCTGATTAGAAAATACGATTCAGATAAAGTAAATGTGGTATTATGTCGAGCTCCTTTGCAAAAATTAGAGGAGACATATAATAGGAAGATGGAAAATTATTTACATTTTTAGATATTAACTCCAGACTCAGGCACGATTTGAGTCAGATTCTCACCCCGGAGGACTTTCTGAAGCTACACAAGATGACAGACAAAATGGCGAAAAGGATATCGGATTTAATTTTAAAAAAGTAACCAGAAGAAACTGAATAAATATGTAGATACTAAGAGAAACTTGGCTTCGATGAATATACTGAAAGAACATTGTTAGGGGGACCTTAATTTCGAATGAAAGTGAATGAATGAGAGATTCGTTGGTCGATCTCACCAAATGAGGACGAATGAAACTCGTTTTACTGCAACCGTTTGGCTTTTATACGGTATTCATGTTGACGCAGTCTACGAGACTTCCTCTCTTGTTTCTGGTGAAAACGTGCTGAGATTTCGTCTTTCATATAATATACATCATCAGAGTTGGGTGTCATTCTTGTACAAGTCTCACGTTAAAAGTAAAGCAAGAACACTATCCGGTTCTATCTCACTTCTTGTATAGACTAAATAGAGTCAAAATATTAAAAATTAAAAACCTATTTAGATTGATATAGAGTGTTCTGTTTAATTTTCTTTCATACTGGTTCAGTTATTTTTGCTTGATTTTATGGGTATGTATATTTGTGTGTTAGCGTCTATATGCAATACGGTTCCTAAATCAGACTTCTCAAAGATTAAATCTCAGGTTTTGATCGTCAAGACCTAATAACCCAAGAGAAAATCTTTGACCGAGACTGCCTAGATCTGTAAATAAGTAGGGTTGAGATAATGAAATATGAGCTTGTAAACATGAAAATCAAGTTACGAAACCATTTTTCCTAACCTTTCCGTCAAGGGTCATTAACCTTTAACCCTCCAAGGAAAGGCAAGACTGGGGTTGCGTAATCTGACACGTCTGGTTTGGTTGATGAGCTTAATCTAATATGTTGGACGAGTGTGTGTGGAGTTAGAACCGTCACTGAGCCGAAAAATTGAGTCGCCTTCTTTTTGACGACGGCTCAACACCTCTCTCCTTCAATCTATCAATCAAGCATCAGTAGTTTATACTAAACTTTCAACCACCGTTTCTCTCATTCTCTTCATTCTCTCTCTCTCTCTCTTCATTCAATGTATTTCTAAGCTATTCATTTCAAAGACTCTCTTATTTTTCTTTTAACCACAGACGTACCATAATCAGCAAACCTACTAGTTTGATAACATTCTACTTCATGTCCAGTATCTACCATGTATTCGGCCACTTCTGACCGTTGGATCCAGCTACATTTGCAAGCATTTTTGTGTTCTACCAATCTTTGTCAAATAGGTCGGCATGTCTTGCCAACATAACATCAACCACATAAGCAAACAATCTTGTAGCAGCCGGATCTCGATAATGGGTCATATTTCTCTCTAAATAATGGCATAACATAAGAAAGTGTGAGGGTTTCTTTGAAAACTGTCTTTATGCCCAACTTATTTACTAATTCGCCTTTCTTTTTTTAGAGAAAGCATGAAGGTAAAATTAGGACATGGGAGAAGGTCTCAGTATGTCTCTCTGACTAAATGGTCGTTGTATGAAAATGTATTCCTCAGTATAGAGATATTATTCTTAATTAGGCCCAAAGAATAATTATTTTCCAGCAATGTATTTGTCAGCCGTTCCAACTCTAGAGTCAAGTGTTTGGTATCCGCTAGTTTCATACTTCTAAGAATCATTGACTTTGAAATTCCAACATGAGTCTTGTAACTATGGTTTGAAAGAAAAATATGAAAAGAGTTAACATATTTTGGCTTCCTATAAACATATCTTCCTAACCTACCCTCTTCTCTAATAATGAGAGCGTCCAGAAAAAGTAAGGACTTATTCTCTTCCATTTCTATCGTGAACCTAATGTTCCTTTCATGCTGGTTGAGTAAAAATATGAAACTATCTAAATTGTCCTTATCATGAGGCCAGATGACAAAATAGTCATCCATGTATCTAACCGACAATTTAGGTGTTAATATTGCCTCTTGTAGGAAGTGTTTCTCCAATTTCGTCATATAATTGTTTGCTAAGATGGGAGACAGGCAAGATCTTATTGCTAATCCTTACGTTTGTTCATATAACTTACCGTCAAAGGTAA